GTACATTCCCAGACGTTTCGCCGGCATCGTCAGTGAGTCTCGCCATTCGTAGCACCATATTACAACTGGTTTAAGAGACAAATGAAGCCCATCCTTTGACCAAACGTGTATGTGCGAGATACCATAACTGTTTAGTACACGTTTGGTCAAAGGATGGGCTTCACTTGTCCCTTTAACGAGTTGTAATATGGTGCTACGAATGGCGAGACTCACTGACGATGTCGGCAAAACGTCTGGGAATGTACTGTGTCTACGGTTTGACTGGAAATAATTATGCATACAATGGACTCAAGACAAGGTGCGTTCCTATAAGTCTTCTTACCAAATGACCAAGTTGCGAAAACAACTATTTTTGTTTTGATTTTAGTCTGAATAACATCGCGGCACATCTTAACGTCTTTTTATTTTTTTGCAGCAACGGTGTTTTCTCGTGGGGGATACAAACTCGTCGCCAATTCGACACAGCTGGTCTGGATTCGCCCAGCTTCGAGGTTCAGGACATAATCACCACCACCATCATCACCATTCCCCAGCTCAGTCTCAAATTTCCTCGGAACATCAAGCTTCCAGGCCTGCCTCCTTCAGCGCTGGTACTGCCAATGCCACTTCAAACACCAGCGAGGTTGGTGTAAGTGGCAATCGTACGGCAATCAAAGGCTTGCTTGGTGCCTGCCGTATCGTCTATCAACTTGAGGGGCCTGGTGGTTTCACTCGCGGCATAGTTGCTCGCATCCTTACAAGTATGCCGGGAGCTGCCATCTCATGGTCTGTCTATGAGTACTTCAAGTGGTGGTTCGGCCAAACACGGCACAAATCGTCATACCCTACTCCCTCTTTGCCGCCACCCTCTGGACCTGGCTTTATCACTGCTGCTGCTGCTCCCGATGATATCGAGCCGGGCGATCGTACTGGTCACTCAGCCAGCTCTGGAGCAGCTGGTAGCATTTCTATATTCTTTAGCTCATCGGCGTCTACACCCTCGACGACTGCCGCTTCTACAGGCCTGCCTGTCATCTAAGCTCAACAGGATGGATATTTGACTAGTTCCTTAGAGTATCTATCGTGATTATCGCGGCGATGACTGTACGAAAATTCTCGAGCACTACATGGCAATCAGTTCCTGACAGTTATGATCATCTTTGAGTCTTGATCAACTGTTTTCGATGCGGAACGGCTATGCTCAACTGAGTCATCATCTGCATTCCTTTTTCCCCACCTCTTGCTTCCATTAATATTTTCTTCCTTGAGTCGGCTTTCTACCCGGTTATTGGCATTGCACAGCCAGAAGCTACCGAAAAGTTGGATTTAGCTTAGTTTATCGTAGTCTTCGTTGGCACATTTTTGCTCATTCTGATTTGATTTCAAGAAAACCGTGCGATCTTCGCAATACCCAGCTAGAGAGAATGCACACGCATGGCTACCCATATCAATATTCAGAAATGTGGATCAGATTCCCTGATAAATTCTAGATTCCATTTTTTTGTAGTTGTTCTGCATCCTATTTTCCCATACATACCGGAAAGGATAGCCTATTTATTATTATTTTCCATTTTTTATTCTTCTACTTATTGAGATATACACGCACCACTCTTCCTTTACATAACCGTCTATCATTTAGAACGATTCTTCATTGGGTAAGACTGTTCTCACACGTGAGAACACTTCAATCCCTTATGAACTTTATTTGCGTTTTCAATGCCTCTTTAATCCAGGGTGGCTTTTATAGTTATCGTGGTATTCTCTCTGGTTATACATTATCTTTTAATCTTGATACGTTCAATCTCTTTTTTGAATACTTTACTTAAAACTTTCCAAAGAATATCAGACTCGCTTCATTTTAAGCTATTGTAGCTGAGGCTCATCTTTTGGCACCACTCCTTCGACCTTTAGAGCACGATCACTCCTAACATTGTTTTTCTTTTTTCTATCTAGACGCTTGACAGACAGATTTCAGCTAGTAAGAAATCTTGATCATTTGATGCTTCCACTCCGCTACTCTCTACATTTTTCATCTTTCATGTCCATGAAGCCGGAGCATCCATTTCAAATGCCACTACAGAATGAGTCTTCACTACTTAGTATCTGGCCTCTTTCGTCTATAGATCACTTTTCTTATAACTTCTACGAAATGCGTTGTTTTAGGTGTTATACTTTGTACATAATGTTTGATTTCCTCCAACTGGTTAATATTACACTATTGTCTTGCTGATGGAAGGTGGTTCCTAATCATTTATGTCACAGAAATAACTGAGAATTGCAATCCTTTGACGGCTGTTTTGGAGGACCCTACAGATTTCATGTCAATTGCTTGCATAGTATTTAAAAATTATGTCTATGCTTCCGGAACATTAATTAGTAACGTAGCTCATCTGATTTACTGGTAGCCTATAAACTCTACTTACATACGAAAACAAAGTAACGTAGTTGAATTTTATAGCAAAAATATGTTTGGATCATGAACAAAACTTCCGAATAATTTGGTATGGAAAAGGACCTGGCCTTCCTTGAAATTCATGAGCCCTATGACCCAAGGGCACTCGTGGTAATGTGGCCGAATGGTTAAGGTCTTAACCTCACATTCTGCACTGTTACGGTTCGACTCCCGCTAGGGGTGTTGAAAAGAACTATGCGAGTTTGAAACTGCCGTCCACCCTGGATGAGAACAACTTTTGGTAAGCAAGGCTATGTGAAATTGAATAGAAAAGTCAGTTCGTTTCATATGATTGTGAGAAAATTCTACCATAACGCATACACCACTTAGACGAAATGGGGTGAATATGTCTCATATTATTGATTTGCTGGTAGTCTGGAAATTGTACTTACATACGAAAAAAGTATGCCTTAGTCACAACACTTATTGTGATTTTAGAGACCTGACCTGCCTTTAAATTTATTCTGCTCTCTGCTACCATGACAGACGTTTACAAATCTGTTAACACTATTCGCATTCTACATTGCCTGGTATTATTTTGAAGGTAACACCAACACCGAGGCGAAGACGCTGTCTTTATGCTTGGATAGCAAAAAGTTTAAGTGAGGCAATGCAATGGCGCATTGAGGCTTATTCATACCAGTGTTGGAAGCCCAACTATCAGGCTAGCAACTGTTCATATTAAAAAATTAAGTAGAATGGCTGGGAATAACTAATAGAGCATTTAAGTTTTTAATCATGTTTCTATGCATAACTGGCGACCCACACTTCACCTAACAGCGCATTAAGTATTGTATTCGCCCTAGGTCGAATGTTATGTAAGATCCAGTTGAATTTTCTCGCAATTTTATCGGTGGGCATCACATAATCTTGCTTCGCAAAAGTTCAACTCATGGCCCCGCCTCAGGATGTCAAAATGGAATCTAATCCAAGTTAATCACTTACTTGTTACCACCACGCCATCGTATCATGGACTCCGATGGGCCACAAGACACTTGAATTTTAAAATAAGATATTTTACAGAAGTTGTTTGACTTTGTTTTCGAAACTTTGTCATATTAGTAGGAAGACTTAGAGGAACGCCGGCATCGTAGGCGAGTTTTACCATTC